ATGACCACGCCGCAATCCCTTCTCCTCCATTCTCCTCTTGGGATCTTGGGCATGCACGCACACGCTCCCGGCGTGAGTTCAAGCCACTGGGTCTGGGACTTGAACCGCGGTCGACTACATGGGAGTTCAGAGCCATTAAGTTAATTACTGGTCCCCAAAAGACAATTTCAATCCCTAACTCCAACCACAGCCCAATCCCTAAGCTCAACCTGAGTTGCAGCCTCATTCACATTCGTCTATTATTATTATTTTTTAAAAATCTGCTATCGAGTGCACATGCTCACCAGAGACAGAGTGAGAGAGAGAAAGTGAGAAAGAAAGCCACCAGGTCCAGGATTTGAACCACGGTCAGCTATGTGGAAGTCCAGCGCCCCAACCACCACACTACCTGCTGGCCCCAGTCTCATCCACATTCTATATCCAACCAGAACCTACTGGAACCTTCTTTCTGTTTCACAGTTTCAGCCTCTTTGGGGCCTAAATTGGTCCAGACACTGTGGGTCCTTCCCTTGATGGTGACAGAAGGGTGCTACCAGGGAAGACACCAGGGCTGGTGCTTCCTGGTTGGCAAGAGCTTCCCCTGGGAGGCGGAAGGAAAGAGGGCAGGTCCAGAAGGAGAAGGAATGTGTTCTCTCCACACTCTCCCTGGGCCAAAGGCTTGCCGCTGGGAGCGTAGCGTAGCCTGACCCTCTCTCTTCTTTCTTTCTTTCTTTCTTTCTCTCTCTCTCTCTCTCTCTCTCTCTCTCTCTCTCTCTCTCTCTCTCTCTCTCTCTCTCTCTCTCTCTCTCTCTCTCTCTCTCTCTCTCTCTCTCTCTCTCTCTCTCTCTCTCTCTCTCTCTCTCTCTCTCTCTCTCTCTCTCTCTCTCTCTCTCTCTCTCTCTCTCTCTTTCTTTCTTTCTTTCTTTTTTGAGAGGTTTTGCTATAGGGCTCGTGCGCTCGCCAGACAGAGAGAAACAGAGAGACAGCAAGCGAGAAATCACCCCCCAGGGGGAATGGCCACGCCACAATCCCTTCTCCTCCATTCTCCTCTCGGGATCTTGGGCACGCACGCACACGCGCCCGGCGTGAGTTTAAGCCACCGGGTCCGGGACTTGACCAGCGGTTGGCTACATGGAAGTCCAGCGACATAGCCATTACGCTAACTGCTGGTCCCCCACCCTCTCTCTCACTGCTAGCCGCAGCCTCACACCTCCTCCTACCCAGGGCCTGACCCCTTCTGGCCCTTCTTGCTCTGGTTCCTGTGATTCTGCCGGAGTCCCAGGCCTCTCCCACTCCAGGTTTATTTTCTTCAGAGTGCTTATCCAAAATAATAGCAAACGAATGGTGCCCACCGTTTCCTGGTCCCTCTCCCAGTACTCGCCGTGCTCTGTGCATGTTTTATTTCTTCTTTGAATGCAGTGCCTACAACTGTGCCTGCACCACTACAGATCATGCGCGATGAACATCTGTGGGAGGAAGGAAGGACAGAAGAAAGGGAGGGAGGAGAGAAAGAAGGAAGGAAAAAAAGAAGGAAGGAAGCAGGGGGAAGGCTAGAGGAACGGAGAGAGGAAACGACCTCAGGTTCCCGACAAACCCTATTCTGTTGGAGCCCAACCCTGCCGGATTCCAGACCTCTTCCTAGTTTCATTCCCCCAGCCCTCGCCCCGTGAGGATGTGTACTTTACAGAGTCGAGTGTTGACACAGATGGAGTGAAGTACCAAACGTGCCCTGTACATCACACAGGTGAAGACATGGAACACTGCCAGCTGTCCACGGAGCTCCCCGTTCCTGGCACTCACTGGTCTGACTTGTGTGAGAATGGTGTAGCTTTGCCTGTTCCAGAGCTTTGTATCGCTGGAATAATAAGGCCCGTCTTCTTCTTTTTATAATTTTTTTTTTTTACTCATTAACTTATTTTAATTTGACCAGAGAGAGACACACAGTCAGATAGAGAGAGACAAAGACAAACAGAAAGCAAGAAAGCAAGCCTGACCAGGTCCAGGACTTGAACCGTGGTCACCCAAGTCAGAGTGTCCAGCACCTTAACCACCATGCCACCTGCTGGTCCCCTTTGAAAATTTTTAAAATTATTTTTTATTTTTATTTTATTTAAATTTATTTATTTATTTATTTAAATCCGACCAGAGAGGGACAGAGAGAGAGAGAGAGTGAGAAAACAAGTTGCCAGATCTGGGACTTGAACCATGGTCAGCATTATAGGAGTCCAGAACCCTTAACCACCATGCCACCTACCAGCTCCCCCAATTTTTTTTTTTGAGAGAGATTGTTCCTATAGGGTGTGATGTGTTCTTTCTTTGGTGACAGAGAGAGACAAAAAGCAAGAAATCTTCCCCAGAGTAGATGGCCACACTGCAATTGCTTCTCCTCCATTCTTGTGGGATTTTGAACACACACACATGCATCAGTGTGAGTTTCAAGTCGCTGGATTCAGGACTCAAACCCCAGTTGAATACGTGGGAGTCCAGCACTTTAGCCCTATACACGCCCACGCGCCCGGCGGGAGTTTAAGCCACCGGGTCCAGGACTTGACCAGCGGTTGGCTACATGGAAGTCCAGCAACATAGCCATTACGCTAACTGCTGGTCCCCCACCCTCTCTCTCACTGCTAGCCGCAGCCTCACACCTCCTCCTACCCAGGGCCTGACCCCTTCTGGCCCTTCTTGCTCTGGTTCCTGTGATTCTGCCGGAGTCCCAGGCCTCTCCCACTCCAGGTTTATTTTCTTCAGAGTGCTTATCCAAAATAATAGCAAACGAATGGTGCCCACCGTTTCCTGGTCCCTCTCCCAGTACTCGCCGTGCTCTGTGCATGTTTTATTTCTTCTTTGAATGCAGTGCCTACAACTGTGCCTGCACCACTACAGATCATGCGCGATGAACATCTGTGGGAGGAAGGAAGGACAGAAGAAAGGGAGGGAGGAGAGAAAGAAGGAAGGAAAAAAAGAAGGAAGGAAGCAGGGGGAAGGCGAGAGGAACGGAGAGAGGAAACGACCTCAGGTTCCCGACAAACCCTATTCTGTTGGAGCCCAACCCTGCCGGATTCCAGACCTCTTCCTAGTTTCATTCCCCCAGCCCTCGCCCCGTGAGGATGTGTACTTTACAGAGTCGAGTGTTGACACAGATGGAGTGAAGTACCAAACGTGCCCTGTACATCACACAGGTGAAGACATGGAACACTGCCAGCTGTCCACGGAGCTCCCCGTTCCTGGCACTCACTGGTCTGACTTGTGTGAGAATGGTGTAGCTTTGCCTGTTCCAGAGCTTTGTATCGCTGGAATAATAAGGCCCATCTTCTTCTTTTTATAATTTTTTTTTTACTCATTAACTTATTTTAATTTGACCAGAGAGAGACACACAGTCAGATAGAGAGAGACAAAGACAAACAGAAAGCAAGAAAGCAAGCCTGACCAGGTCCAGGACTTGAACCGTGGTCACCCAAGTCAGAGTGTCCAGCACCTTAACCACCATGCCACCTGCTTGTCCCCTTTGAAAATTTTTAAAATTATGCCAGATCTGGGACTTGAACCATGGTCAGCATTATAGGAGTCCAGAACCCTTAACCACCATGCCACCTACCAGCTCCCCCAATTTTTTTTTTTGAGAGAGATTGTTCCTATAGGGTGTGATGTGTTCTTTCTTTGGTGACAGAGAGAGACAAAAAGCAAGAAATCTTCCCCAGAGTAGATGGCCACACTGCAATTGCTTCTCCTCCATTCTTGTGGGATTTTGAACACACACACATGCATCAGTGTGAGTTTCAAGTCGCTGGATTCAGGACTCAAACCCCAGTTGAATATGTGGGAGTCCAGCACTTTAGCCACTATACCACATACTGGCCCCAGGATTGTCTTCTTGAATATCTGGCTTCATTCAATATAATCTTTGTGAGAGTCCTCCATGTTTTAGTATTTTTAAAAAAGAATTATTTAATTATTCGTTTGTTTTTTAATTTGACCAGAGAGAGACAGAGGGAAAGTAAGAAAGCAAGCCACCAGGTCTTGGACTTGAACCGTGGTTGGTCATATGTGAGTGTCCAGCGCCATAACTACCACACCACCTGCTGGTCCCCAGCTTTTTTTTTTTTTTTTTAATTCATGGGCAGAATTCTATGTTATGGTTATTATTTATTCATCCTTTAGCTTAACTTCTATGTCTTAAACTTCACTCCAACTGTCTTATTTTGTATTCAACACCAGTCCCTCCTCAGAAGATCCTGGCCCTGCAGGAAGCTACAGACTCCTATCCCCTGGACTCCCCCCACCATCTCTTCCTGCAATGTCTCTGGGCCTCTCTGTGTCCATGTGGTCCCTGAGCCCTGGCCTCATCACTGGCCACCCTTCTGCCGTGGCCTTGGGGCCTGGTGCAGACAGATTGGCAGCTTTCTCCTGTGGCTTCTCCTTGCCCCATTTCCCAGAGAGGAAGGCTGGTCAACTGGCCGGCTGGGCAGCAAGTTAGTGTCCCCCACTCCCTGCCACCCACTGGGGGCCCTAGAACCAATGCAGGTCACCCGCTGCCCATGGCCCTGCTGCAACCAATGGGAGAAGGCAGAAGGAAGGAGCTTATTAGGATGATAAATATCTGGAGGCCACGCCCAGTCTTGTCCCCCAACTTCCCTGGGGCCCTGGCTCAGGCTGGACTGGCTTCCCCACCCTGAAGACTCCTTCATCCACGGCATCTTCCATCCGCCCATTCAGTGGCAGGCCAAGTGCCCTGCCTGCTGTTCCTCCTGGGTGCGCGGCTTCCAGAGGGCTTGGAGCCCAGACGCCTGCTCGCCTGCCACCAGCCCGGCCCCACCCCGGCCGCCAGGCTTGCATCCCAGCCAGCTGAGGGTAGCAGCTTCTCCAGGCTCTGGGCGGCCGGGGACCCGGTCGTCCTGCCTCACCACTCCACCTCGGAGGCTGGACCCTTCCGCTGCTCTCTGTGCCTGGCTTCCCTTGGGTGTCGCCCCTCCACGCGCACTGTCTGGAACTCGAGCAACCCCTTTGTCTCCTGAAGGGCAGCCATGGCCACCTACAAAGTCAGGGTGGCCACGGGCACCGACTTCTTGTCGGGAACAATGGACTGCATCTCGCTGACCATCGTGGGGACCCAAGGAGAGAGCCATAAGCAGCGGCTGAACCACTTCGGGAGAGACTTTGCAACAGGAGCGGTGAGTGTGTGTGAGTGTGAGCATGTGAATGAGTGTGCGTGACCGTGTGAGTGTGACTGTGTGTGAGTGTGAGAGTGCATGGCTGGGGAGGGATGGAGGTGACCAGGTGAGGGAGCCACGCATGGCAGAGATTAGCCAGAGAGCAGAGGGTCCGCTCTGAGAGCAGCGTTCTCACTCCTGGTGGCCTGGATGCCTCGTCCAGACCTGGCTTCCAACCCTGTCCCCTCCCTTGGTCTCTGGACCACCTTCCTCCTCATCCTTTTTCAGTCATTCCTCATCTCTCCCTCTCCCCTTCCTTCTCTCTTCTCTCCCTCAGCTCTCTCCCCATAATCTTGCATCCTTTTCCCCTTCTCCTCTTCTGTCTCATCCCTTTTCCACAGCCTCTCCCGGGTCCCTCATCCTCTTTCTCCCAGTCTTACTCACGCTTCCTAAATCAAGTTGCATCACTACTGGCTTAAATTTGCATCCGATTCTCTGTGACTTAAAATGGCATCAGACCAGCCTATCCAGTGGGGTCCAGCCTGCTCTGCGATAGAAGGCATCCTTCAAGGGCCCTCAAACCTCAGCCCTGATTTAGCGATAGGCCCACCCACTTGCTGCCTTGTGACCTTAATAGGTCACTCTACCTGTGTGGCCTTTTTTTTTTGAGTCTTGCTGTGGTGATTTTCCTGCTTCAGCCTCCCAGCTGGGACTGCAGGCGTGTGCCATCACTCTTGGTTTTCAAACAGGGTTTGGCTGGGATGTCCAGGCCAGCCCTGAGCTCCTTGTCCTTCTGCCTCAGCTTCCCGAATTGCTGGGATTACAGGCACAAGCCAAGGTGCAGGGTGTTAAGGTTGGACCCATGTGGTCCCAGCCTGCAGAGCACACGCCACTGTGGCTGGGCCGAGTCCCCACAGCTTCATAGGTAGGGTCCTTGGAGGTTTGGGAGGCCTGGGGCCCACTTGGGCTCCTCTGCACACCAGCCCCTGAGAATCCGCATGGCTCCTGTGGTCTCAGGTGACTGGGGACAGGGTGGGACAGAACAGGACCTCAGGAGCTGAGGAAATGGAAGAGCCGGAGGGGCTGGGGCCTATTCCAGGCCTGGGTAGATGGGACCAGCAGGGGACAGTCAAATGGAAGGGATCAGGAAGGAGCCCAGGGATCAGGTCGATGTCGTGCCTCTCTGCCCTCCTCGTCCGGGAGATGAGCGTTGCCGGCGTGAGCAGGGCCTGGATCAAGGGGAGGCCTGTGGAGCCCGCTCAGCCAGCTGTGTCCCGCCAGGTGGACGACTACACTGTCCAGTGCCAGCAGGACCTGGGGGAGCTCATCATCATCCGTCTGCACAAAGAGCGCTACTCCTTCTTCCGCAAGGACCCCTGGTACTGCAACTATGTGCAGATCTGCGCGCCCGGCGGCCGCGTCTACCACTTCCCCGCCTATCAGTGGATGGACGGCTACGAGACGTTGGCGCTCCGGGAGGCCACGGGTGAGCCCTCAACACAGAGTCCCGAGTCTTTAGGCCCTCAGTGTAGCCTGGCTGTGCCATTCAGTCAGCCCGGAGCCGTCCCCGCCAGCAACCCCCAGGCCCTCCGGCTATCTCCACATGTGGCCCCCTCAGCCACTGCAGCCAAGCTGGGACCAGCCCCGGCCGCACACTGGGGCAAGAGAGATGCCTGAGGCTTGGGGCTGCCCTTGGTGTCCCAGATGCAGACGGCCTCCCCCAGCACGCTCCCGTTACCTCTCCAGTCCTCCCCTCAACTCCTACGGAGTGTCCGGCTGCTCTAAAAAGACCCTGGTTACTGGAAGTGCAGGCCGCCGTGTTTCCATAGGAGGAAACTGTAGTGCCATTCCACATGCTGGCCCTGCAGCGGGGCACCTCGCCAGGTGCTAGGAGGCCCCATTATTCCAGTTGGAGCCTTGCTTCCTATTAAAACACGCTGTTAGTTCAGCAGACCTCCGTGGTCCTGCGCAGGACCACGACGCGTGTTTTTCTAACTGAGCACGTGCAAGACAGATGGGACGTTTTACTGCCCCAAAGGACTCCCGTCACCCCAGCAGGGTGTGCACTTCGTTTTTCTAACAAGACACGTTGTGACTCCAAAACTTCCTCCCTAAACCCAGTAAGGATCCATCCCACCCCAATGGGAGGCCCCGTTACTCATGTGGACTGTTGGGGTTCCTCTGAGGTTGCTGGTCAAAAGCTGCCCAGCTGACGGTCCAGTTGCTCGATTGCTCTCACGGGAGCAGGACAGGCCTCGGGTCCTGACTCTTCGCCTAAGCCCTTTGCCTGGCAGGCCTGGGTCAGCTTCCCAATGTGTGGCTGCTGCCCGGGGACTGGGCCAGTCCTCTGTCATTCCCCTGGTTCTACCACCCAACTTCTGCTGGCTTCCCTTGAGGTGGGTGGGAGAGCAGGACAGAGCTAAGGAGCTGGGAGCTCCATCTTCCGAGCAACTGACTGCCTTCTTCTGTTTCTCATTTTCCTGGTGTCCTCCCCTGGGAGGGGTAGCCAGGCCCAAGCCAGGGAAAGGAGAGGCACGGGGTGGAGGGAGGAAGGCCTGAGGATCCCAAGGGGAGGACTCTGGGGGCACAGAGCCTCTCCCCACCGCGATAGGTCTGAGTGGCACGGAAGCAGAGGACAGGCAGGGTGACATTGGGTGGCTGGGCAGGAATGGAGTTGGGTGAGGTGGCTGCCATGCAACACCAGGGCAGGGAGACTTGAGTCACCTACTGGGCCCTGGAAGGAGTGGGGCTCCCGCCCTTGAGATGGAGCCAAGCTGGGTCTCTTGGTTGCACAACTCCAGGGGGCACCATTCACCCAGAACATTGTGTGAGCTGAGGTAGGTGGAGGAGAGAGGGGGTGGGGGCCTTGAGGAGAAAAGATGGGGCCACCTTGTACAAAGCAGCCTGGGACAACCAGTCAGGACTGTGGAGAAAGACGGGCTTGGGTTTGGGCTTCAGCCCCAGCACGTAATAGCGGGACATCCGGTCACATTTCCAAATGCTTCTAAGCCTCGGCGTCCTCTTCTATAAAACAGAGCTAATAACAGAACCTTCTTTATGGGGCTGATGTGAGAATCCAATGAGGTAACAAAGGAGTTTTAAGAAGGCCTAACAGGGTCTGGTAGGTGGCATGGTGGTTAAGGGTGCTGGACTCCCACACAGCCAGCCACTGTTTGAGTCCTGGACCTGGTGGCTTGCTTTCTCATACTCTCTCTCTCTCTGACCCTCTCTAGTAAATGAAAACAAATAAAGATAAATGAAATAATAATTTCTTAAAACAAAACAATCTTAAAAAAAAAAAAAGAAGGCTAAGTTATTGGTGGTGAGGAGCTGGGGGATCAGAAGTAACCTGCCTACCTCGGCTCACACTCCAGCCCATGCTTTCTCATGGGCATGACACTGTACTTTTTTTAGCTAAAACTATTGTGACCACAGGTGTTTTGAAATTCAGATTTTTTTCTTTTGAAAACGAATGAATGAATTGTTATTTTTTTTAATTTGCCATAGGGCATGTGTGCCCACCACAGAGAGACAGAGAGAGAAAGTGAGAAAATAAGTCACCAGGTCTGGGACTTGAACTGTCATCAACCATGTGGGAGACCAGCACCCTAACCACTAAACCAACTGCTGGCCCTGAAATTTAGCTTTTACAGGCTGATAATTCCTAATCTGAAAATCCAAAATGCTCCAAAATTCAAAACTTTTTGAGCGCCAGCAGACATGATACCACAAGTGGAAAACTCCACACCTGACCTTATGTAACAGATTGTAGTCAAAATGGTGCAAAAAAAAAAGTACTATATAAAGTTATCTTCAGTCAATGTGTATAAAGTGTCTATGAAATATAGATAAAATTTGTGTTTAGTCTTGGGTTTCATCCCCAAGATATCTCTGTATGTGTGTATAAATATTCCAAAATCTGAAAAACAAAAATAATTGAAATTCAGAACAATTCTGGGTCCAAGTATTTTGGATAGGAAATACTTGATCTGTATCTAGAAGCCACACATACAACATACGTATGGATATATATGTGTATATATACATATACATCTTCATAAATGCATCATTTATCTTATAAATACACACCCCTCCCATGCACACACCATATGCTATGTGATTATATCTACCATTAGGGCATCCCTAATCAAATATACTAATATTTCAGGGGCAGTTAGGTGGCATGGTGGGTGGGGTGCTAGACTCCCACATGGCCAACTATGGTTCAAGTCTCAGACCCGGTGGCTTGCTTTCTCAGTTTGCCTTTCTCTCTCTCTCTCTCTGGTCAAATTAAATAAGAAAATAATAGGGACCAGCAGTTGGCATAATGGCTATGTTGCTGGACTCCTATGTAGTCTACTGAGGTTCGAGTCCCGGACCTGGTGGCTTAAATTCACGCCGGGCGCGTGTGTGTGTGTGCCCAAGATCCCGAGAGGAGAATGGAGGAGAAGGGATTGCAGCGTGGCCATCCCCCCTGGGGGCTGATTTCTTGCTTTCTGTCTCTCTGTTTCTCTCTGTCTTTCTGGCAAGCGCATGCTCCCTATAGCAAAAACTTATCAAAAAAAGAGAGAAAATAATAATAACAAAATTAAATAATCAAAAAATATATACTAATATTTCTCAATAAAAACTATGAATAGTTACATTGGGTGTATAAAAGGCTGTAGAGGGCTGGCCTGTGGCCTGATGGGTAAGGGAGACAGAGCATACCTGGCCAGCCACGCGGTTAGAATCCCTTGTCCCGGTGACTTGAAAAATCACAGGCATGTATGGATGTGCCCCAAATCCTGACCCATGGAGAAATTGAGGATAAGAGACTGTGTTGTGGCCATGCCCCATGGGGGAGGTACTTTGTCTTTCTCACTTTTCTGCCAAAAAGAAGGAAGACTGTATAGCCTCAGGTACGTTTAGAGCAGGTTTTGCAGACTGATGAATTTGTTGTGTAAGTAATCAGAATTTTGATTTCCACAGTCTTTTGTATTTTGGAGCTGGGGCGAAGGTGTTGTGGGACTATAATAATACTGTCTCATAGGTTGTTCTTGTGTGGCTTAAAATATTAATGAAAGTGCCTGGTGCCCATGGCCTGGTGATTAAGAAGGCTGGATTCCACATGGTGGACTGTGTGGTTCGAGTCAAATGTGCAAGCATGTGTCCAAAATCCCAGAAGGAGGGAGAAGTGGACCATTCCCTGTGTGTGCGGGGGTGTCCTTCCTCACTCTCTCTCTGTCCCTTTCCAGAGAGCACAGTACCTACTGGCACAATTCTAAATAAATAATTAAATAAATAAGGAACAAAGTCTTGGTGCCTAGTAAGCGCTGAAGAACCGCCAGCATGAACATTTCCGTGGGTCTAGAAAACAGACTTCCGGCAGCAGCAGAGTGCGAATTGGGGCACAGAGAGGGAAGAGGTGGGCCCATGATCCGTTCATCACAAATTCTGGGAGGGAGCACACCTTCCCTCTCCTAGGATGGACCTTCCTCACCTTGGCCATGGTGGGAGGCAGAAGCTGAACGCCTGCTCCTGGAGTTAGCAGGGGTGAGACCGGGTGAGGTCAGCCCCTGAGCCTCCTCCTTGGTCTCCCTACAGGAAAGACAACAGCGGACGACTCGCTTCCCATCCTCCTGGAGCACAGACAAGAGGAGATCAGAGCCAAACAGGACTTCTACCAGTTAGGAGGAGGGCGGCAGAGCCTTGGGGGGTCCGCGGAGGTGGGGGGCCGGCCGTGGTGGTGCAGGAGCAGCGGGCCCACTGTGGCTCACCTTGTCTTCGCAGCTGGAGGGAATTCGTTCCAGGCCTGCCCAACTACGTGCACATCCCCAGTTACCACCCTCCCGTCCGGCGCTGCCGCAACCCCAACAGGCCTGAGTAAGGACCCCAAGGTGTCCCGGGCCCCTCCCATGGCTGACACCTGGGCTCCTGCCTCTCCTGGCCGTCTGGACCCCTGGTGCCAGGTCCCTGCGCTTTTCCCCACAGATGGAATGGCTATATTCCCGGATTCCCGATTCTCATCAACATCAAGGCCACCAAGTTCCTGAACTTAAATCTCCGCTACTCCTTTCTCAAGACAGCCTCTTTCTTCGTCCGCCTGGGGCCCATGTGAGTAAGGAGAGCGTGAGGGCTCCTGCAAGGACCGTCCCTCTCCGCCTGCTCCATGCTGGCCTCCAGGTAGCTCTACAGGCTGGGGCAGAGGGAGCTAACAAGACAGATCTGGAGAGCCCGAGCCTTGATATTCAGGGGCCTGGACACTAAGACCCTGGGACTGGGACCCAGAGACCTAAGTGGGGTGGGGCCGCCTGCCCTGCCCTGCCCAGCCCACGGGCAGCCTGTGTGACGGGCTGTGTGACTGTGGGATCCCATTTCCTAGGGCACTGGCATTCAAACTCCGCGGCCTGGTGGACTCCAAACGCTCATGGAAGAGATTGAAGGACATTAGGAAAATTTTTCCTGCCAACAAGACTGTGGTCTCCGGTAGGGGGTGGGACAACTGGAACACAAGGCGGGGGGACTACGTGGCTCTAGCGTGGGAAAGGCGGGACCCAGCGTCGGGGCGGTGGGAGAGGGAGCGGGGCAGGGGTGGGGGTGG